GAAAATCGAATCGAAAATACTTGAATTTTTTTTTAAAAATCGGAGATTTTTTTTTTAGGCAAATCGCCCAGCCCTACCCTTACAACACATTTTGCAATTTACAACAACATTAACACCATACACACATTTAGCACTTTACATCACATTTAGGCACTTTACAACACATTAAGCACTTTACAACACATTCAGCCTTTACAACCCCCCCCCCCCATTAGCCTTTTACAACACATTCAGCACTTTACAACCCTTCAGCACTTTACAACACATTTAGCACTTTACAACAAATTCAAACACCTTACAAACAAATTCAACACCTTACAACACCTTCTTCTTCCTCTCTTTCCCCTTCTTCTCTTCTTCCTCCTTCTTCCTCACTTTCCCCTTATTCCCCTTCTTTCCCCTTCTTCCTCTGTTCTCTTCTTCCTTTCTTCCCCTTCTTTCTACTTCTATCTTTTCCTCTCTCCTTTCTCTTCTTTTCTCTTCTTTCTCTTCTTTCTCTTCTTTCTCTCTTTCCTCTTCTTCCTCTTCTTCCTCTTCTTCCCCTTCTTCCTCTTCCTTCCTCTTCTTCCCCTTTTTCCTCTTTTCTTCTTCCTTGCTTCCCTTTCTTTTTCGTTCCTCCTCCTCTTCACTTCTTCTTTCCTCTTCTTCCCTTTCTTTCATCTTCCTTCTTTTTCCCTTTCCTCTTCCTTCTTTCTCACCTAAACTTTCCAAATCTATGGCTGCACTTCCACAATGGGGTTCTTCCAGCCATTGTACCATTTTTGTTGAGTGGCTGCAATAGACATGCAGCCACTATATGCTCTTACTGTTTTATTGATTGGCATGCATAGACTATGCAGCCACTATATGCTCTCCTTCTGTTTATTCTTTTCCACTTCCGCCAGATTTGGAACTTTTCAAACTCTTCAACGCTTTCACCAAATTCAACAAATTATACATCGTTCGAACGCTGTCACCGTCTCATTATTGCTAATTACTTTTCACACTTCCACCTTTAGCACTTTTTCATATATTAACAAAAGTTCAAGCACTTTTCCATAGGACTTACATTGGCCAGTATACAACAGATTACTCCCCATAAACACCTTAACCACATCTAACAACAATTATCCTTACCACAGAAACAATACATTACATCATCTTACACACTTACATCACCTTACAAACACATTTACGCACTTTTACAACCCATTCAACACCTTACCAACACTTTACGCACCTACAACACATTTATTCACTTTTACACAAATTCAACACAATTTAGCATTTTCTTACAACACATCAACACCTTAAAACAAATTCAAACCTTACAACACATTTAGCACTTTACAAACACATTTAGCAATTTACAACAAATTCAACACCTTAAAACACATTTAGCACTTTTACAACAAATTCAAACACTTTCAAACACATTAAGGCACTTTCCAATCGTATTTAGCACTTTTACAACACTTTCAGTCCCTTACAACACATTCTTCTTACTTCTTCCTCTCTTTCCCTTCTTCCCCTTTTCCTCTTTCTTCCTATCATCCTGTATTCTTCCCTTCTTCCTCTTTCTTCCCTTCTTCCTTTCTTCCTCTTCTTCCCTCTTCCTCATCTTCCTGTACTTTCCCCTTCTTCCTCTTTCTTATCTTCTCTTTTCCTCTTCTTCCCCTTCTTCCTCTTCTTCGTTCTTCCTCTTCTTTCCCTTATTCCTCTTCTTCCCCTTCTTCCTCTTCTTCCCATTCATCCTCTTCTTCCTCTTCTTCCCCTTTTTTTCCTCCTTCTTGCTCTTCTTTCCTCTTCTTCCCCTTTTTCCTCTTCTTCCCCTTCTTTCTCCTTCTTCCTCTTCTTTCTTCTTTCCCTTTTTCCTCTTCTTCCCTTCTTCATCTTCTTCTCATTCTTCCCCTTCTCTGCTTCCTCTCCTCTCCCGTCTTCGTCTTTCCTTCTTCTTCCTTTTCTTTCTTCTTTCCTTCTTTTCCTTCTTCATCCCTAACCCTTCAACATCTATGCAGCCACTCTCAATGGCTTTCAGCCATTTTACCATTTCTAGTTCTTCTTCAACTTCCGCCAGACTTTTGGCACTTTTCAACTCTTCAACGCTTTCACCAAATCAACAAATTATACATCGTTTCGGACCGGCTTCACCGTCTCATTATTGCTATTACTTTTCACACTTCCACTTTAGCACTTTTTCAGATTTTAACAAAAGTAAGAACTTTTTCCATAGACTTACATTGGACCAGTACAACAGATTACTCCCCATACAACACATTACCACCTAACAATTCATACCACGATACAATAATTACAACATCTTACAACACTACAGCACCACTTTACAACACATTTAGCACTTTTCAACCAAATTCAACACGTACAACACATTTTGCAATTACAACATATTAAAACACCTTACAAACACATTTTTCACTTTACAACAAAAATTCAACACCTTACAACACATTCAGCACCTTACAACAAATTCAACACCTGTTTCATAGGGCTGGGCAAAAAACGATTAATCGATTTATCGATTTTGTGAGCTTAAAAGGATTTTTTATTTTGCAAAACTCGAGTTTTTTTTTCACCAAATTTTTTTTCTGAGGTTTTTTGCGTTTTACGTCCTTGTGGGTTTACCGTAGAGCGTTATGAGCAAGCCCCCTCCGCCGCGTAAACACAGTCAAAACAAGATTGCAGCGTGTGTCAGTAGTAGAGCAGTGGGTTCCCAAAGTCTTTTAGCCCGCGCGACCCCCATATAATGCCCTGCTAACCCTCCTCAGCATTGTGGAGCGCATTTCTTGCGGCTCGCCCTCACTGTTCTCTACCGCGGTAAAGTGGGCCGGTCTTTCCGGGAGTCAGCGGTTAAGAGGTCCGAGCACATTTAAAAGCGGGCGGCGCTTTCTGCTCTTTACTTATGCAGGCTCATTCCGGGCTTCTCTTTCCAAAGTTACTGTCAGTAAAGGCATAGACCGCCACCCGCTTTTAATGTGCGGACCTCTTTACCTTTGACTCCGAAAAAGCCGGGCCTCTTTAACGCGCTGTTTACCGCTTGTTCCTTTCTCCCTCTTTGCCACTCTCCCTCTTTCGCTCCATCAGCCTGACCCCTGATAAAGTGGACTTTTCTCTCCTCCTCTGCCCTCTCTCCCTCCTCTGCCCTCTCTCCCTCCGCTGCCCCTCTTCTCCCTCCGCTGCCCTCTTCCTCACCGACTGCCCTCTCTCCTCCAGCTGCCCTCTCTCCCTCCGCTGCCTCCCTCCCTTCCCGGCTGCACTCTCTCCTCCTCTGCCCTCTCTCCCTCCGCTGCCTCTCTCCACTCCCTCTGCCCTCTCTCACCGCTGCCCCCTCTCTCCCTCCTTGCCCCTCTCTCCCTCGTCCCCGCTGCCCTCTCTCCCTTCCGCGCCGCTGCCTCTCTCCTCCCCGCTGCCCTCGTTTCCCTCTCCCCGCTGGCCTCTCTTCCTCGCTGCCCTATCTCCCCTCCTCTGCCCTCTCTCCCTCCTCTGCCTCTTCTCCCTCTCTTCGCAACATCAGCCTGACCCCTGATACAAGTGTCTTTTCTTCCCCCTCCGGGAGGTTTTCTGTTAGTGGTTATTAACCTCGTTTCATTTTTTAAAGCAGGTATTATTTATTTGTAGTCCTCCAAAACACCTTTAGTTTTAGCAAAACAAAAGGGTAGGACACGCTTTGTCGCTGCGCATGATGTGAGCGTGTGTTACGTGCATGATTATTTTGATGGCGCCTGCAATGACTGGGACAAAATTACTTACGTTATTTTAAAATTTTTATAGTCTCCCAAACACAATTTTATAAACCCCCAAGTAGTCCTTTTGAATCAAATCAAATGGCTAATAAAATATTTAAGGGCTTTATTATTTGCTCAAAAAAAAAAAATCTTTTTTTTTTTGTTTGTGTAGAAATCATATGCGACACCCCCAGGGGTTCCCGCGACCCCCCCGGGGGGGTTTTAAAGGGGGGATTGTTTAAAAGTATTTAGAGGCGAGGTACAGTACGTTGTCCCCTGTCGCAAGGTATTTCGCAGATGTACGCGCATCTGGCCTCACCTGTACAATACAACTCGTTGAAAAGATCCGCGGGAGCTGGGGGATGATGACGTTTTACTTCAGCACACGGACCTGTGGTTGTGGACAGGCTCTTCTTTCTTTGCAAAAAATGTTAGAATGAGCTTGCCAATATTTCAGGATCTAATGTTTTGTTGTTAAAGATAAAGTTTACATTTGTTTATCTTTGATAACGTAGTTTGTTAGTAGTATATGTCTGACACAGGCATGTTTAATTTTTTTTATTCACATTTGCTGATACGAGGGCTCAAAGAGAGAGTTTATTTTATTTTTTATGTAATGTTATATGTAACAAAATATGTAGTTATCTGATTTCTTAATCAGAAATTTAAAGCTACTGTGAAGTTGATGTTGCACTTTTGCTTAAACCTGGGTAAAGCTTGAAATTGTTGAATAACAGAGCCTCATTTATTGCATTTTAACTCCTTGAGGGACAATCACAGCAATAAATTTGCACTTTTGACAATATATCTGATGTCTCCGTCATTTTTAAGTGCATTTGGGGGAACAAAAATCGAAAATCGTAATCGAACACTTGAATTTTTCTTTAAAAATCGGAGATTTTTTTTTTTTTAGGCAAAATCGCCAGCCCAAACTTACCAACACATTTAGCACTTTACAACACCATTCAACCACTTACAACCATATTTTAGCACTTTACAACACAATTAGCACTTTACAACACCATTAAGCCACTTTACAACCGATTCTGCACTTTACCACACATTTAGCACTTTACAACACATTCAGCACTTTACAACCATTCAGCACTTTACACACACATTTAGCACTTTACAACTAATTCACCACCTTACAACAAATTCAACACTTACAACACCTTCTTACTTCCTCTTCTTCCCCTTCTTCCTCTTCTTCCTCTTCTTCCTCTTCTTCCCCTTTTCTTCCCCTTTCTTTCCCTTCTTCCTTTCTTCCTCTTCTTCCTATTTCTTCCCCTTCTTCTCTTCTACTCTTTTCCTCTCCTCCGTTCTCTTCTTTCTCTTTTCTTTCTCTTCCTTTCTCATCTTTCTCTTCTTCCTCTTCTTCCTCTTCTTCCTCTTCATCCCCTTCTTCCTCTTTCTTCTCTTTCTTCCCCTTTTTCTCTTCTTCTTCCCCTTCTTCCCTTTTCTTTTCTTCTCCTCCTCTTCCTTCTTTTTCCTCTTCTTCCCTTTTCTTTCTTCTTCCTTCTTCTTCCCTTCCTCTTCCTTCTTCATCCCTAACCCTGTCCACATCTATGCTGCCACTCAAATGGCTTCAGCCATTGTTACCATTTTCTAGTTGGTGGCTGCATAGACTATGCAGCCACTGTATTTTTTGCTTTTCTCCTACTGTTTATTGGAGTGGCTGCATAGACTATGCAGCCAACTAGATATGCTCTCCTACTGTTTATTCTATCTTCCACTTCCGCCAGATTTTGGGCACATTTCAAATCTTCAACGCTTTCACCAAATTTAACAAATTTTACATCGTTACGAACGGCTTCCACCGTCTCCTTTACTGCTATTACTTTTCACACTTCCACCTTTAGCACTTTTTCGATATTAACAAAAGTAAGCACTTTTTCCCATAGACTTACATTGGAAGACTACAACAGATTATCCCCATACAACACATTACCACACTTACAATTCTTAACCACAGATACAATACATTCAGGCATCTTACAACACTTACAGCACCTTACAACACATTTAGCACTTTACAACACATTCAAACTCCTTACCACACTTAAAGCACTTACAACACATTTAGCACTTTACCACAAATCAACACATTTAGCATTTTACAACACATCGACCCTTTTAAAACACAAATTCAATACCATACAAAACACATTTAGGCACTTTACAACCACATTTAGCACATTTACAACACTTCAACACCTTAAAAACACATTTATCACTTTTACAACCAATTCAAACACCTTTCACACATATAGCACTTTACAACGTATTTAGCACTTTCAACACTTTCAGTCCCTTACAACACATTCTTCTTATTCTTCCTCTTCTTTCCCTTCTTCCCCTTCTTCCTCTTTCTTCCTCATCTTCCTGTTTTCCCCTTCTTCCTCTTCTTCCTTCTTCCTCTTTTCCTCCTTCTTCCCTTCTTCCTTATCTTCCTGTACTTCCCCCTTCTTTCTCTTCTTCCCCTTCTTCCTCTTCTGCCTCTTCTTCCCCTTCTTCTCTTCTTCTGATTCTTCCTCTTCTTTCCCTTTTTCCTCTTTTCCCCTTCTTCCTCTTCTTCCCTTCTTCCTTCTTTCTTCCTCTTCTTCCCTCTTTTTCCTCTTCTTGCTCTTCTTCCTCTTTTCCCCTTATTCCTCTTCTTACCCCTTCTTCCTCTTCTTCCTTCTTCTTCCTCTTCTTCCCCTTTTCCTCTTCTTCCCCTTCTTCTCTTCTTCTCCTTCTTCCCACTGTCTTCTTCCTCCTTCCTCATCTTCCTTCTTCGTCTTTCTCTTCTTCCCTTTTCTTTTTCTTCCTTCTTCTTCCTTCATCATCCCTAAACCTTTCCAACATTATGCAGACCACTCACAATGGCTTCAGCCTATTGTACCATTTCTAGTTCTTCTTCCACTTTCCGCCAGATTTTGGCACTTTCAACTATTCAACGACTTTCACAAATTCAACAATTATACATCGTTACGACCAGGCTATCACCGTCTCATTATTGCTATTAATTTTCACACTTCCACCTTTAGGCACTTTTTTCATGATATTAACAAAAGTTACAAGACTTTTTCCCTTAGACATTTCATTTGGACCATACAAACAGATTTATCCCCATACAACACATTACCACACTAAACAATTATCTCCTCAGATACAATTACATTACAACATCTTACACACTTACCTTTTTTGCTTTTGGGAGAGCCTTATGCCATCGATCTAATGCAGAAAATCAAGTCATACATTAGTAATATATATAAGCACACCTTATATTAGCATCTTCAATTATAAATAAATAATAATAGATAAATTGTTCAAATGTTGTAGACATTTTTGGCTGCAGGTTGTTTATTGTGCATTGTTTTATGACCTTGTTTTGGCTTCATTGATTTTGATGTGGAGGATTTACATTTTTTTTGGTGGAGGACAGTGGCTTGGTTAGTAAGAGAGGACTGAAAATAAAGTGTAATGTAATCAAACGAACACAAGACAAACGGGAGACTATAGACGGAAAACAAGTGGGGAAAAAGACAGGATATAAATGCATACAGGAGACACAGGTGAATAACTGTAGGGCAAACCATCAGCAGGAGACAGGAAGCAAACTCAAACTAGAAGAGAACAAATACAGTAAAACAAAACCAGGTCAAAATAATCCAAAAAGTCCACACCATGACAGTTAGGAAGACTTTCACAACGAAAAGGCGCAGGACTAAATTCAGCCAAACGATGGCGTCCATAAGAGGCACAACATTATGGAACACCTTGCCGGAACACATACGAAACTATGGGACATACTGTACGTAACATTTGAAGGGGTCCTGAAATTTTGGTGGAAATCAAACCAGTCGTGCTCCCGTGGATGAAGATCTGCTCTTTCTTGGACTTTCTCTTTCTCTTCTCTTTTAAATTCTTTATGTTGTGCTTGTCAACCTATTATTTGTACTTTTACCTAAGCTGTTTGCAGACACATTGATTAATAAGTACTGTCCTAATTCAAATAAAAACATAAAAGCCGTCAAATTGTCTGCTTTGAGATTTATCTTGTTAAGTGTGTTTTTAGTAGTATGAAGAACCAAAAGATTGTACCATAAATAATTCATGAAGTCACGTTAGAAGACCTCTTGAATGCTCTCCTCCCTCCTGCCTGGACATCACAGGCAAGTGTGATTTTAATGTTTTAATTGTGATTCTGGTGTTTGTTTTATGTGATGATTTGTGATGTGGACTGTGAAGCGCTTTGTGTTGCCATGTGTATGAAAGGCGCTCTACAAATAAACTTTGATTGATTGATTGAAGTGCAGACCAAATTGATTCTCGGCTAGAACTATGTGCAACGCATTAAAGTTACATTACTTTGAACTGCGTGAATATTTCATTGAGATTCCCGCACAAGCTCGAGGGGTCAGCAGAGTTAAATAAACAATGTGTCAAACGATTGGATGGATCTGCGTTTTACCGCTACGTGTCCGTGTTCTATCCACAGGTGCAGACAGGCCATGGGATCTCTGTTCTCTGTTTCAAAGGATTTTCTGTGTCTGTGGTCAAAGGAGCAAATGATTGTTCACTTAAGGGGAAAGGTTGGTCAGCAGACGTGAGTGTTTTTATCACACTTAGCAGCCTCAGTTGTGTTTTATGGAAAATTATGTTTCTTACTCTGACAATATAATTATTAATTGTTATATGGTTTTGGCTTCAGGCTTCATTATGATTATTTTTTTATTGAGGTTTAAAGTTGAACATATTCATATAAAATGGCATGTGTAGATATTTGTTAATGTGTTACTTGGGTATACAGATTTTAAGAACAGAGGTCTAAGAAAAAAAAGATGATTCAGGACATTTATAGACATTTATTAACATGTGGTTAGGGTTATGGCTATGGACATTGGTCATCCTGCTTCCTATGGACCAATGGCTCCTATGTGTTTGTTATGATTGCAAATCCTATGTTTGAATTGTTTGTTTCTCAAATTTGTTGTTGGAGAATTGATAACTTAGTAAAGATCTCAGAGAAAATTACGAATGTGCTTTAGCAAGTTTTAGTAGATTCATAATTGTGTGAGTCCTAGTGGTAATAGTTTCACTTTTCACTAATGAGACGGGCGACAGCGGCTCATTTGGTCCTGATGGTCATGGGTTCGATCCCCCCACAACTTGTCTCACTTGCTCGCACTAATACCCGAAGTTGTTGTGTCCCTGGGCCAGACACTTAGCCCCACATTGCCTTTGACCCCCTGTTGAAAGACCAAAGCCAAACCTAAACCCCCCCCCCCAACACAGAAATGGACAATAAAGGGAATAAATATGACATAATGAGACAGTGAATTGTCCGTCTGATTCCGATAACATGATTTTTTTGATGATTGGACCGATTCCACTCACTCTACACTGTGAACTACACCAATAATTTTCAATGAGTGACTTTCCTTCCAAAAGTTGCAGCTCCAAAACACATCAATAGCAATATATTCTGCAGTGATGTTACACATTCTAACTAAGCGAACAAAGTTGTCCCCATCGCCGCCCTGACAGAAGTCTGGAAGGCTGCTTCAGTCCTCCCACAGTCGTCTCCTCCGACAGCCTTTTCACACATCTCTGAAGCTCATCGGCCATGACAGCTATAATTTGCTTCGCCCCACACAGCTTCTGCAGCCCTAACTTTAGGAACCCATCTCAACTTGTTTTCCTCTATCCCCCCGTGGACTTGCACCACACTGATGCGACCAACGACCCATGGTATTGACAAGCAGACGTCTTAACTTCACCGTCAACGCTAAAGTTTACCTTTCTGATCATCAATGGATACATTTTGGCTTATTTGTCTATTTTGTTGCAATAGAGGGACAACATTGACTATTTTCTTTGTTATGTTTCACTCTTTGATGAAAGCAATGTAATTTAATTTCCAAAAATATGGAAACACTAATAACAACACATGCATTTGTTTTGTATTAAAGGCCACTACAAGATGGTCGATGATAAAAGTTCCTTAAACAAAGTGATAGAGAGCCCCAATGATCTATCAATAGAGAAAGAGAGAGAGAGAGAGAGAGAGAGGGAGTTGTGCTCCTTTTCCACTTCCTACAAATAAAGATTCTCTTATCTGTTATCTTACTTGAATTGAATCTAAGAAGCAAGAGTGGTAAATTATGATTTCTGGAATTAAAAGTGCACACTTCTATCTTTTGCACAAGTCTGAGTGATTCTACCAAATGTGACATGTACATTTTTCTTGAGTGAGATCAATAAAGTCTATCTTATCTTGTCTCATCTTTCCAGTAGATGATTTTGAATTGGACTGCACAGTGACATAACCACTGTGAGATTTAATTTTATGGAAAAGATGCTAACTCTATAAGCAACTTTATTGAGTGGCTGCATAGACCGGCTTCACCGTCTCATTATTGCTATTACACTTCACACTTCCACCTTTTGCACTTTTTCAGATATTAACAAAATTTCAAGCACTTTTTCCCATTGACTTACATTGGACCAGTACAACAGATTACTCCCCATACAACACATTACCACACTAACAATTCATT